GTAACACTATTGGAGGTGATGGGAGGAGACTTACAAGTTACAGTGTAGGTGCAGAGTAGGCACAAGCTAGGTGGCAGCCTTGGAGAAGGCATCTCTGCATGCATGTAACACGATTGGACATTAAGGGAGGCGCCATTGGACTTAGCGAAAGAGTTCAAAAATGAAAGTTGTCGCCATCCCCATTGGCGAATAAGAGGTGTCATAGGTTTCAGAGTAGGCGCGGGCTAGGTGAAAACCTTGGGGATGCCATGCCTGAATGCATGTAACACTATTGGAGGTGATGGGAGGAGACTTACAAGTTACAGTGTAGGTGCAGAGTAGGCGCAGGCTAGGTGGCAGCCTTGGGGGTTACATCCTTAATTCAAATTCAGTATGACCTATTTAGTCTTACATTTATCAAAACACTGATTCACTTAATCTGTCAAACCTTCCACCTTCAAACCTTCATACAATCAAACCTTCAAACCTTCAAACAATCAAACATACAAACCTTCGAATAACTCATAAACTTCAAACATTCAAACCTTCAAACCTTTCAACCTTCAAACCTTTATACAATCAAACCTTCAAACCTTCAAACAATCAAACATACAAACCTTCGAATAACTCATACACTTCAAACATTCCAACCTTCAAACCTTCAAACCTTCAAACAACCCTACGCAATGGCCTCTGCACCCCAATATGTCATTAATGCACATTTCAACGGTGAGACATACATTTGTCCCACCTCTGGGTTTTTGTTTAGAGACACAGACAACATCTGATTTCTTTTAAATGGGAAAGCCAATTTCTCGTACTTCAAAAAACGATTGGAGGCCAAACTTGGACGAGGCCCGGTGACACAGATATTTTATCAGAATCCAGTTTTTTTTGGAAACAATCAAATAATATTTTATAAGGTTGAGGTTCAAGATGACGAGGATCTTCAGAATATGTTTTCCAGCCATGTGTATTTTGGGTACGACTCTATTGAGTTGTACATTATGCTGCGAGAGCCTCAGGTGACACAAGTGGTTGATCCTTTGGAGAACGAACAAGCAGAGGTAGATGCAGTTGATGAAGAAGAAGAAAATGACGAGTTAGAGTTTGCTGAAATGGTGAATGATGATTCCGACGATGATGGCATACCTAGTATTCCTGCAAACGAGATCTACACACCACCTCCGCACATGACAAACTTCAACATGGGCGAAGATGAACCGTCTACTGATTTATTTTTCAATCTGTATATGCAGTCGGATGAAAACTTAAAAGAGAAGGACAAGTTTCGTAACAGAGAGGAATGCATCAGAGCCATAAAAAAATTCCACATGCTCAACTCGGTCGATTTTAAGGTGGACCTTGTCAACCCAGAAAGGTACAAGATCAAGTGTGTCCACCCTGACTGTATGTTCAAGCTCACTGCATCATACAGATTAAGAGGTGATTGTTGGGTCATAGGTTCCATGACTACCCACACTTGTGTAAGTTATACCCAATCACAGGACCACCGAAAACTTAATTACGATCTCATTTGTCAAGAAATCCTACCACTGGTCAGCAACGACCCATCTTTGAAGGTGAAAACCATCATCTCCCACATCACCATGGTTTTTAACTATACTCCGTCTTACCGTAAGGCATGGTTAGCAAAGACTAAGGCGATTGAAAAGGTGTACGGAAACTGGGAGGAGTCATACCAAGAACTTGCTCGCTACCTGAATGCACTCAAGACTTATTCTACGGGTACTGTTTACGTTCTGGAAACAGTTCCAGCATACGCCCAAGATGGTAGTCAACTAAACGGAAACAGAATATTCAGTCGAGTGTTTTGGGCATTTCAACCTTGCATCACAGGGTTTGCATTATGCAAACCAATTATACAAATTGATGGGACTTGGTTGTATGGGAAATACAAAGGCACGCTACTGATGGCAGTTGCACAAGATGGCAACAACAATATTTTCCCAATTGCCTTTTCCCTAGTCGAGGGGGAGACCAGTGGTGCTTGGAGCTTTTTTCTGAAAAACCTGCGAACACACGTGACTCCTCAACCAAATCTCTGTTTGATCTCGGACAGACATGCCTCCATTGAAAGTGCCTACAATAATCCTACAAACGATTGGCATGACCCTCCTTCTACGCATGTCTATTGCGTTAGGCATATCGTCCAGAATTTCACGAGGGAGATCAAGGACAAAAAACTAAGGAAAGCGGTTATGAATGCGGGATATGCATTGACACAACCCACGTTCAAATATTACCGCAACGAGATCCATTTGTCAAATCCGGAAGCCGGTAGGTGGATCGACAATATTCCGGTGGAAAAATGGACTAGGTCATACGACAATGGCCAAAGATGGGGGCACATGACAACGAATCTTATTGAATCGATGAATGGGGTATTCAAAGGCATACGAAACTTCCCGATCACTGCATTGGTAAAATCTACGTATTTTAGGATGGCTTCGTTGTTTGCCAAAAGAGGTGAAATGTGGAATGCGGTGTTGCAATCTGGACAACTATGGAGTGAAAGCTGCATGAAGTACATTAAGGCAGAAAGTGCCAAAGCCAACACTCATATGGTTATACGGTTTGACCGACACAGCCACAACTTCATTGTGAAAGAAACAATCGACCACAACGAAGGCCTGCCAAGACAAGAATATAGGGTCATACTACCTTCTCGTTGGTGCGATTGTGGCAAGTTTCAAGCCTTTCGTATGCCTTGCTCTCATGTCATTGCCGCTTGTGCTTATACCCATCAAGACGCGCTACAACTTCTGTCACACATTTACAAATCTGAAACATTGCTCAACGTTTACAACAACAGCTTTCCTTTGGTAGCAAAACCAGATTATTGGCCTGCATACGATGGTGAAATAGTGTGGCACAATGACCAAATGCGAAGGAAGAAGATGGGTCGTCCCAAAAGTAAGCGCATCACAACCGAAATGGACGAACTTGACAAGCTGGAAAGAAAGTGTGGTTTATGCCGTCAAGTCGGACACAATCGCAAAAATTGTCCGAATCGAGCATCTGCCTCGACCACATAAAAATTGTAATACATAAAATCTTTCCTTAATTATGTTGTAAACATTAGGGTTTTTCGTTAACAGTATTTGCTACAATAAATATTGCGCGTACAAGAAAAAAAACACGATATTCTGTCTACGAAATTACAATTGTTAAAACAATTTCATCTGACCCATGCATCATCAACATTACGTCGCTGTCTGTTTTGACTTCCTCCAACCATACATTAGGTCTTCCTGTCGCATGTGAGGTTGTTGTTCGTCTTCGCTGGATCCTTTGAATTTTTTTCCCCTCCGCAATGTCTCCATCTAGCCATCGCATCAACTCCCGCTTCAGACGCTCCATGGAGTGAATGTGCCAGAATTTCATTTTCATCGCAGGTTTCGTGGCGGAGAAGATAACGTAACCATCTCTGGTAAAAATCATGAGCGATGTCATGACGCAAATAACAGAGTAAAAAATAAGAAAACAGTGCGAGAAAGTGTGAGAAATGACGGAGAAACGGACGAATTATTTATAAAAACAGCATTTTGCCCTAGTTTTGCGCTAGGAGCCAAGTGAGATGGTGCCTCCTCTCACTTTTAAAGTGCATGTGCCATCTCACTTGGCTAAAAGAGAGAGGAGGCGCCAAGTGAGATGGCGCCTAGGACAAAACCCTATGTGGAGACGCCAAGTGAGATGGCTTCTCCTTTGGGAAGTCATCTGAAACATGGTTATTTGCGTAATTTTTTTCTGAAACGTGGTTATTTGCGATTTTTTTTAATACCTGATTATTGCAAAAAAAAATTCTAGATCGGACATTAAACAGGTGTATCTATGAGTTTAAGATTTGATTGGAATTGAATTTGGGTTGAACTAATTATATATTAATAAATATTTATCCAGGTCTATATAACAAAAATATAATTTTTTATAACTTTTTTATATTTTTAACATGTAGATAGATAAGTTTAAAACTTTCATTCTAATAATAATAATAATAATAGGTCAATATAACAAAAATATAATTTTTTATAACTTTTTTATATTTTTAACATGTAGATAGATAAGTTTAAAACTTTCATTCTAATAATAATAATAATAATAATAATAATAATAATAATAATAATAATAATAATAAATAATTTAATAACTTTATGAATTGTTGTTCATGATATTATCTGATAATTACGTATATATTGAATAATATTTTATTGTATTTATTTGATATATATTATTATACAAAATCCATTTTTGAAAAAATTTAAAATAATTTTTATTTTTATTTTTACGATAATATGTATTAAAGTGATTAAAGAAGGAAAAAGAAAATTAAATTATATATATTATTCTGATTGTTTTAAAATAAAAACAAAATTCGATCTGATTTTAAAAATCGTTTAAACCCTCGATTTTCTAATGTTTAACTGTTTTCTAATTAATTTTTCGGTTTAAACCTCAATTTTTCTACATATAAATTTTTACGTTTAAACAAATCGGTTAAGAGTTTGATTCAAAGTCCAATTAATTGAATTGAATTATCCGATGTAAGTTTGATTATGATGATTTTCCTTGAAAAGCCAAACCTAAAAATAAAAAATCATTACATTTCACAATTATTTTAATTAAATTATCATTGCGTTTGCATCATCTGCAATTACTACAGCCACCTTGGGCCGCGGGACTATTCCAAGAAGTGGACCCGTTTTTTCTCTCTCTCTAAAATCTCTAGAGAGAGAAAGATTGACACACAGACATACCCAAAAAAATCACCATTTAATCTTAAATGATAGTGAAACAGTATCGCATAATATAATAATATAGTTTTTTTTGACAAAAATAGAATAATAGAGTAAATAAAAACAATAACTTTCCTAATGAACAAAATAATGTGTTGTTCTACCCGAATCTGTGGTCTGATATTGTTGTATTCTCTTCATAAACCAATCCACAATTCCAACAATTCTCTGTGATTAATTTCTTTCATTCATCAACACAAAGTCATGGGTTTTCTCAATCTTTCTTGCATAGCTGAATCTTCAATCTCAACCTCAAATTCTGCCACATCTTCAAAACCAAGCAAGATCCAACACTTTCACTACAGTGACCTTGAAGCTGCAACCAATGGTTTCTCAGACAACAAACTTCTTGGCAAAGGAAGCCATGGTTATGTCTACAAAGCAATTCTCCGTGGTAAGCCTGTAGCTGTCAAAAGACCATCTAGACCTCACTCTCTTCTCCATCCTAACAGACCCGTCTCAGCATCTTCCCCTGAAATCACCAATGAAGTTGATAATGAAATCGATATCTTGTCCAAAATTCAAAGCCCCAGGTTGGTTAATCTTGTTGGTTTCACCAATGATTCAAAGGATAGGCTTTTGGTTGTTGAGTTTATGAGCAATGGTACACTTTTTGATGTTCTTCATTCTTCTAATAGAACGCTTAATTGGGGTAGAAGAATTCGTTTAGCTTTGCAAACTGCTAAAGCTGTTGATGTTCTTCATTCATCAAACCCGCCTGTCATTCATAGAGATATTAAATCTGCTAATGTTCTTATTGATCAAGATTATAATGCTAGGTTAGGTGATTTTGGTTTAGCACTTAGGGGTTTTGATAGGATAAGGTCAACTCCACCGGCCGGTACTATGGGCTATCTTGATCCTTTTTATGTAACACCTGATAATTTGAGTACTAAGATTGATGTTTTTAGTTTCGGGATTTTGTTGTTGGAGATTATAAGTGGAAGGAAAGCAATTGATGTTGCTTATTCGCCACCATCCGTTGTGGATTGGGCTATTCCACTTATTAAGAAAGGCAAGTTTTTTACTGTTTATGATCCTAGAATAGCACCTCCTAAGGATCCTGTTGTGAGGAAACAATTGGTTTTGATTGCGGCCAAATGTGTTAGGTCTTGTCGGGAAAGAAGGCCTTCTATGAATGAGGTTGTTAATTGGCTCTGTGGGTTGTGTAAATTGGTTCCAAATCATTCGTGGAATGGTTTCAATAATCCTTGTATGATGGTTGAAACTGTCGGGCGTCCAATTGAACCAAGAAATGGCCAGGTCAGTTCGAGGTTTGCAGAAGAGAATTTTAATGGTTTGGATGCTAGATTGTCAAAGTCTGCCTTGAGATACTCGAGGAGAGTGTATTCTGATTTAGGCATCAGCAGCAACTTGATGGATCTTATGGCTACGACCGAGGATGTGGAGTTTCAAAGAGATGGTTACGGTGTTGTGGAACATAGTTTTAAATCAGCTGAACAAGTTTCTAGTTCAAGATTTGGTAGTGGAAGATATTTCACAAGAGGAAAAAATTTATACAGGCCTTGTGGTACTGATAAGGATGCTTTTGGTTTGAATAAAGGCCATGTTGTGGAGGAGAATTCTTCAAAACAAGATGAGGTTTCTGGGTCAGCTTTCAATTCTGTTGCAACCAAGGCCATCTAATTATTTGCATAAACATTTGATTGGAGTGATGCTTAGACTTGAAAGCTATACACCACTGACATTTTAGATTGAAGGCGTGTCTGGTGTTTGACACCAACATCACTGTGTTGTGTCCGGCATCTGTGTCAGTGCTTCATAGCTTATAAGCGTTTCTTGCTTGCAAATTATAGAGGTGTAGATTTATTGTGAGTTCATTATTTGTGGATTTTAGAATTGACATGTTTTTTTAGTGGTAGGTATTTGGATTGAAGGGCACATTACTGATGTCCCCTTAAAACTGTTGAAAAATCTTTGTCAAAGGTTTGTTTACAATCTTCTTACCATCAATAACAAATTCAAAAGCCAAATGTATGATTCAAGAACACATTCTGCTGTAATCTTACAAATACATGAAGCTGATGCTGAAAATTGTAAAGACTTTTCAATTATCTGATAGCTGAACAATCTGTTTGTATGTAACTCAAATAAATGTTCAATACAACAATTGCAATGCTTTGGTATTTTTGTTATTGGGAATTCAATTTGTTAGTTTTTGTTATTTGTCTTACAACAATGAGGCTTATTTTAAGTCAAGTTTTGATTTGACATATATTATTAGTTCTAAGTTGTGCAAGAAAAATGAAATTATTTTTTAGGTTATAAACCTGATTTAACCTAAGAAAATGTGTCAAATAAAAGCAACCCTATTTCAATCAAGCAAATGTATAAGCCACAGGATAAGGTTGATTTCAAGAAATTGTGGCGTAGATTAATATGTCAAGTTGCCATATGAAAATTCTATATAAAACAAAGAGACAAGGACAAAAGATTGCCGGAACAATTTCCATTTTAGCGATGTCTAATGGTCCCTACTAACCCAAAATTAAAGTTTAGATTCGTCATGTTGTGGCCATTATCACCAAATTACAATTGCTAACTATGGAGTAATACAAACAGCTACGGATAAAGTTTGGCATAATTGGCATATAGCTAGGTCTCTGAAATTTTTCAATCAATTTAATTCATTTTCAGGTGGCAAAAGCAAAAATATCATATTTTAATGAAACAAAATATTTAAAATGTAACCCACACAATACAGGTTGGTGGCAGAAAGTAGAAATAATTAAATCTTGAAGTTTCCGAGCTGTATGCATTACTTTTGTATGTTTGGTACTCTGTTCCCATGTCATTTCACGTGTAAGTGCAATTCTCGGTAGACTAACAAAATCTTGCTTTTGCCTCCGAATTAGGTAGGAGTGGATAAAATTAAATCATTTGTTTTAAACTGTTCGATCTATTATCTTTTTTTAGCAAATGAATTGGATCGGGTGTCGAGTTCATTGTATTATTTAATTTAAATATTATAAGTTTGATTCGATCGAACTTGGATAATCATTTTAGATCTCTTAAAAATTAAATCCGACCGAATTTAATAAATATTTATTTTATATATTTTTTATTATTTTAGAGTTGAAATATTATAAAAATATAATTCATAATATTATCAAGTTATTATCATTTTTAAATTTAATAGTGACGTTATATACTCATAAAAAATATAAGATATATAATATAAAATTTTGAGTATTATTTAATTTGTTATTTAAAGTGTGATAATTAGTATATTAATATTTGTTGAAATATTAAATTAGATTTGTTAAAATATTAGATTAGATTTGATTAGATTTAATATTTAAATATAATTCAAGTTGTATTAGTTCAAACTCAATTAGAGTTGTATATAAATAATCATAGTGTGTATCATTATTTGTACAATTTAATAATACAAATCCTTATTTTTCTTTATTATTCTCTCTTTCTCTCCTCACTGAAAGTGCCTCACGCACTAACAAATTGGTATCTAGAGCTTCCGATTATTGTTCTTGATCAAGTTTTCAAGAATTTCACGTCAGAGATCGTGTTTCTAGGACAAGTGAAACAACCGCTGTGAAGATGGCTAGTGATAAGGGCATTCCGAATTCTCTTCCAATGCTTGACGGTAAAAATTGAACCCGATGGAAAAAACAGATGCAATCCTTGTTTGCCTTCCATGAAATCCTAGAAGTGGTTACCGACGGCGTTCATGCGTTGGCTGCAAATGCAACCGACGAAAAGAGCCCACAACGAAGTCAAGAAGAAAGATTGCAAGGCTGCTTATTGCATTCAAACGGTTGTCAATGCTGCTAATTTCGACAGAATCTCTCATGCTGAAACGAAGAAATAGCCATGGGATATTCTGGTGAAGTATTACGAAGGAGGTGAGAAAGTCAAGGTTGTCAAATTACAAACCTTGCGTCGAGAATATGAGTTGTTATCGATGGGAGAAGATGAAAAAGTTGCAGAATATGTGTCGAAGATTCAGAAACTCGTCCATCTCATGAAGGGTTGTGGTAAAACCATTACTGATAAGATGATAGTTGAGAAGGTAATGAGAACATTGACCTCTCACTTTGATCACGTTATCGTAGTTATTCAAGAATTCAACAATCTTGAAACCACTAAAGTGGAAGATTTGGTTGGTTCGTTAGAGGCGCATGAGATAAGGATTATCGAAAGGAAAGGAGTTCAGGACTCGATACAGGCACTACAAGCTCAGTCATGGAAAAAGGATGGTGGTTCTAACAAATTCAAAGGCAAGTTTGACAAGACTCATGGCAAGAAGTCTTGGTCGAATCCCCATAAGAATAAGGTCGAAGATAGATCTTCTGAGTCCTCGAAAAGGGGAGGAGGAAACTATCAAAAGGACAAAGAAGATAAGAAAGGTATGCAGTGTTATAACTGGGAAAAGTGGGGACACTTGACCAAGAATTGTTGGTACAGAAAAGACAAGGGATCGACAGACAAGAACGAAGGAGTGAATCTTGCACGCCAAGATTCAGATGATTCTGAAGGTGGTGTGGTGGTTATGGCTGTAGGTGCAGATAATCATGTCGAGTCCAAGATCTGGTTTCTCGACTCAGGCTGATCGAACCACATGACTGGTTGAAAGGAGTGGTTGGCATATTTTGACGAGTCGAAGAAGAGCACGGTAAAACTTGCTGATAATAGTTTGTTACAAGTAGAAGATACTGGAAACATAGTCTTTCAAATGAGTAATGGAGAGAAATCTATGATCAAAGATGTGCTCTATGTACCTGGAATGAAATGCAACTTGCTAAGTGTTGGACAACTAGTCGAAAAAGGTTTCTCAGTTGTCATGAAAGATGGAGTTTTGAAATTGTTCGACACCAAGAACAATTTGGTCTTAAAATCTCCATTGTCGAAGAACAGGACATTTAAGACTATGATCAGTTCGACAAGTTTAATGTTTGAAAATTGTTGTCGACCACAAGGATAGTTGGTTGTGGCATTTGAGGTTTGGACATTTGAATTTTCGATCACTTAATCAACTGATTACTCAAGATATGGTTACTGGTATTCCAAGCCTTGAGATGCCTGAAAAACTTTATGAAGGTTGTTTAGTGGGAAAGCAATCCAGAAATTCTTTCGTTTCGACTATGTCAATGAGAGCATCCTGCATTCTCGAAGTGGTTCATTCAGATGTATGTGGTCCATTCGAAGAACATACAATTGGTGGAAACAAATATTTTGTTTCGTTTGTCGATGATTTTAGTCGAAAGATGTGGATCTATGTGATCAAATGAAAGGACATAGTATTCAAAATCTTTAAGAGATTCAAGATACTTGTCGAAAACCAGAGTGAGAAGAAGATCAAAGTTCTACGAATAGATGGAGGTGGCGAATACACATCCAAGCTATTTGAAGATTTATGTGCAAAACATGGTGTTGATCATGAGGTAACTTCTCCTTATACACCTCAACATTATGGAATTGCTGAAATAAGAAACATAACCATATTAGATATGGCGAGATGCATGCTGAAGCAAAAGAATTTTCCAAAGTCTTTATGGGGAGAAGTTGTTTCGACTGTAGTTTATATTTTAAATAGGTGTTCTACTAAGATATTGAAGAACAAGGTTCCTGAAGAAGTGGGGAGTGGTAAACAACCATCAGTAAGTCTTTTGAAGGTGTTTGGCTTTATGTGTTACAAGCATGTTCCTGATGCAAGGAGAAGGAAGCTTGATGACAAGAGTGAACCTATGATTCTGGTAGGATATTATAAAACTGGTGCATACAGACTATTCAATCCAGTTAATGAGAAAATTGTGTTGAGTCGAGATATTATGGTTAATGAAAATTCTACATGGGATTGGAATTCTAGCAATCAATTAACAAGCCATTAATGAACTTTAATTTCGACAAATAAACTGATGAAGTAGAGGTTGAAGGAATTGTTGATAATCCAATCGAAGTCGAAGAAGAAGCAGTTGTTGACACTCTGAAATAGTCGAAGTCGAAGAGGATATGGCTGAAACATGCCAAAGACCTCAAAGAAATAGAGTTTTTCCAACAAGACTTCATGATTATGAAGTGGTGGGTGATGATGAAATCACACCAGATGGAGAATTAGTTCATTTTGCTTTACTTGCAGGTGCTGAACCAATCAACTATAGCTAAGCTTTGAAGATTAACAAGTGGAAGTTATCTATGGTCGAAGTGTTACAGGAAATCGAAAGAAACAACACATGGAAGTTAGTCGAATTGTCAGCACATACAAAATCTATCGAAGTAAAATGGGTGTTCAAGTTGAAACACAATGCAGATGGGTCAATAGCAAGACATAAAGCAAGATTAGTAGCTTGAGGTTTTCTTCAAAGAGCAGGACTCGACTACACTGAAGTATTTTCTCCAGTAGCAAGATTAGAGACTGTTTGACTAGTGGTAGCATTGGCATGCAACCAAGGCTGGTCGACATTCATTCTAGATGTGAAATCAACATTTCTAAATGGTCCTTTAGACGAAGAATTTTATGTCACACAACCTCTTGGGTTTGTGATTCAGAAGGAAGCGAGTAAAGTATATAGATTGCACAAAGCGCTCTATGGCCTCAAGCAGGCACCTAGGGCATGGAACAAGAAGATCGACTCATACTTAGTCAAATTGGGATTTGTCAAATGCAA